AAGAGCAATGTTTCCATAAATTAAATCAATCAACGTCAAAATGTTTTCAACAAAAGGATAGTTCTTTGGATGTTTTAAACTTGAGTTTAAACAGTGTGTGAATTCTGATGTAGACGTAGCGTGATATTGTAGATTTTCTGACTAAGAAGTTATTTGTAAATTTTCTCGGCGTTGTGTGAGGGGCAGACTCAACTGGTCCCGTAAGCCAGGTACCCTACTTCTACTGGTCCCAGTCTCAAGTAAGGTCTCTTAATCCGCACTTCCACTGGTCCCATCGGCAGCCCCTTTGTAATTTGTCTAACAGGATTATGGCTAGTGTTTGTATAGCTATCAATGCCCATTCATCGAGGTGTTTCGTTGTCTCTAAAAACACATGTTTGGAGAGTGTTTGATAGATTTAGATAGTGTTACCAGTAACATTAAAAAGTACAGCATTAATGTTTATATACTTTTAAGTGTTTAAATGGCGATTCAGCGAATGAGTATCAGTAATATGGCATGTTATAGAATTCATTGGGTTTTAATTCCTAGGGATACTAATACACAGTGTAAATGAAAATAGAGATTCTTTGTGTATAAACGTTTTCTTGAGTTTTGATAACCGGGAAAAAGAACTTGAATCAGTGTTTTATATGACTGTGAAACTTACATTTTTTACATTAGCGTTACCAATAGCTTACATAAAAAGTTTCAACTCATTGACGGCACTTCAATGGTGGTTGTGTAAAGTGTAAAGTGACAATTGCAGTGGGTGATTGTAACAGAGGTTTACGGATTATGCTCAAATCGCTTTTCCAATGTGTCTTCTCAACGCTATGTGCTGCTCGCTGGACCATACAGCCAATAGACCAATTGCCTATCTCTTGGGTTCGTAGGCCTAAACAATTATTCATAAGTTGGTAGCGCATATTATATTACTCAGTGTTCCGTACGGACAGGACAAGAACACCTTTGATAGTGAAATTTCCAACCTAAATGTTTAATAGCGAGGTTGAGGTATAGTATTTTAACTAAATATCGTTTGGTTAGTTAGGTAAGGTTAACCTAACCTAACTAACCAAACGATATATCGAATTAAAGAATCGAATAATCAATATTACTCATTTTGTTGTTTGTGCCAACAGATATGGAAGTGTACCCCTTATAGTTCTATTACGCATTTTTTTTCTTTACTTGAAACTGGTGGATACTGTATTTGTTTATATATAATAGTTTGGCCAGCATATTTGAAAATATGCAAACCAACTGATGTTCTTTATATAGGAAGGTTTCAACTAACCACTATAAGATCCCCGTGCGTAGAACGGGCACACAGCTAAAAGATGAATATTTACGATTAAATAATTACTAAGTACATTTAAAAACATATTTCACAAAAATTGACATAAACATTGATCAAAACCCAGATCAAATACAATGATATATGAAATTAAATTTCGGAAAAGATATATTTACAATAATTGATAAAAAAAACAAAAAACTCATAAAATATTTGAAAAAACGAAAAATACGACAAACTGAATGCTTACAAAGATTTTACAAACAAACTACCATATTACAAATGACTAAAAACTATATTTACAGACTCTATTCCCCTCGACTAAACCTCTCTGGGTAAGGAAACGTTTCATACACATTTTAAAATACCCCCGCCGCAGCAAACCTGCAGACTAAGCGAATTTCCATTTGCCTAAAATGTGGTTTTACACTAAAATGTATCCTTAAAAATGTCACATTTATTCCCTATTTAAATAACATTAGCTTAACGAGTATGCCTACTGAGGTTTGCTGCAACAGGGAGGGAAACAATGTGTTTTTTTTTTTGTAAAATGTTAATAGTTTAGTATGAAATTAATTAATGCATTTTCCAAATTTAAACAAAATATGTTCATAAACAAGCAAACTACAACAGTTAACTTTTTCTCCAAAAGAATAACATGGGAATTTTAAAATAACAGATTTTTGGAATTTTTCCCGTAACAATTAGGCGCATAATAACGCTTTAATATACTAAATAATTTGTTTTTAAGCTCTACAAAATGGTTTGAAAAGAAATTGCTAAATTTTAAGTTTTTAGGGTCAAAAATTGGAAAACCCCCCATAAACCCCTGTTCCCATAGTCCGATCATGCTGGTTCGCGAACTCATTCGAATAAACATAAGTTTACACGTTTGGACCAAATTTCATCAAAATCGGAACATTTTTGCTCGAGTTATCGCGCTAACGGACGGTGTGGTGTTATATATGAATTTGAACGGATGGTGTTTTTTGCCTCTAGGGACCTCAAAACGAAAAAATAAATCTGTCCCGGGTCCAGGTCTTACCATGAGTACTACGGTAATAGCTTATTCCCTATAGGGGAAATTCGCAAAAAGTGACCAGGTCGATCTCCCCTGTTGAAAGAGATTCTAGCTTTTTGTCGATGAAGTATTTCATTGCTACAGTCTTCTTTTTCCTCCACGTTCCTTCTCTCCCCTTAACATTTGATTTTAAACATAAATATCCCTACTAACTTTGCTTATTACAGTACTACCTCTTGTACTACATTTTGTTTACTTCTCTCATAGATGTTTAAAGGTATATTTATCGACTTCCCCTTATGGTAGGTGAGTGCTTCAAAACCCCAAATTCGCAACATTCTTTGATGCCGAGAGCGCTGCAAGTATTTGCTGTTGTTGACGTGTAGAGTGAAGTGATGCATTGTTTAGAGCTTCGCGATGGGATGATGACCTGGCGAGGGAATTCCAAAATTCGCACCATTCATTGCCGAGGACAGGACTGCAAGTATTTATTGTTTGTTTAGATCACGCTTCATGCCTCATTGCCCCGCTGGATTAGCCGCCCCAAAACTACCTGGACCTCTCGGGACCAGTGGAGTCGTTTTATTGCCCCAACCTTTTTCTACCCTCGGATTACGGGACCAGCTAACCATTACCCTTGTGTGATGCGCCAATCTAAAGACAGCTTTTTGTCAAGTCAATTATTTTGCCCATTATTTTGTACTTTAACTTTAGGGTCAGTTTATAGCTTTCCTAAAAACGCCCTTCCCCAATATTTTAGTGTCAAAATCCAGTATTAGACATTAGTAACGTTAACGTTAATTTTTTGAACTTATCAGATGAATTCCACCCATAAATCACACGAGGCAAAGCTTGCCTTAACCTGGTTTCTAGAACTGATTACACATTATACGAGGACATTTCACCTCGAATGTGTAACTGAAACTAAGTTGGAATTTGTAGACAGATTACTTCACATTTGGCATGGATAGTTTATTTGGTAACACTGACTTTTATAAATGTGGCAGGCTTTGGCTAATTAGCTCATTATTAAGGGAATTCCCTATCGATGGTTTGGTTATTGAGGTCTGGTTGTAAATTCTATGAACAACAAAATCAGTGTGTTATTTGAAGCAAATAACACACAAGGCTTTGGCTTTTTATATCCTAACCCGTTATTACTGCACCATATGATAGCCTTTCGAATGTCAATATACCAAATATGTCAATATGTCAATATTTCCAATGTTATATACTTTTCGTTATCAGCAAAACAATCAAAATTTTCACAGCTTAATACTCTTATATATTTTGCAATTGCATATTTTCTAGCTAATTTACTCCAAATGATCTTTTGTTCTTAAAATCACCAGACTGCAGTGTAGTGTAATGTAACCAATACAGGTTTGCAGTAAAAAGTAATGAGCAATATCTGGGGATTGCCATGCTCTATCCTTCTTCAGATGATTGTACTGCATTCCTTCTAACGACACATAACCTCAAAAAACACATCTCTTGTACTAAAGATTATAACCAGTTCCATCGTTCCATCTACTGCAGGAATTGGTTAGTTTTCTTTTTCTGAACGTTACACAACCTGAATGAAAGTCATCTCCAGTTTAATGTGTTGCCAGTTAGCAGCAGTTTCAGTTTTCATAATTTATTGTTTACTCTACACACCTAGAATATCCAATCGTATGTCGGCGTTTTGGCCCACAAAAAATGTGTTGTTGGTGACCAACACTGATGTTATGCAACTTGTTAAACTCCACTGGAAGGATGATAAAAAAATGTAATTACTATGCTGTGCTATGGTAATTAGTTTCCTTTTCCATGTCTTGTAATTCAAAGACTATTCGATTATTGATGAAATCGCACGAATTTATCTATGTAATTTATAATATGATGAAGCAGTATTGTTTTACTAGGTTCACAAATGTTTCTGTGTTGAGGAGGAATCATATAGTTGAACAATATGATTTTACAACCTTTCATTCTTTAGTGATTATAGTTCAAATCCATGGTATCCTCCTACAGTATCTTTACAAATGTTACCTTATTGTTAAATGTTTTATTGTTTAGTAAAATTCTTCTGTATCAGAATGATTAATTGAATTACAGATTGTGTATGATAAATGTAACAAGGCTACTATATCATTCCTACCCCTCACCGACCTTATCCCTTTCAAACAAACTTGAACTGCCACTGCATCCCAAACTACCCAATTATGATCACTAATGTAAAAAAAATGGGTAATATACAGGAAAGTTATTTGGAACTACAATATAGCTGTTTTGTTGTATTACAAATTTATTTTCACACTTTTATGTTCATGCATCTTGCAAAGCAGCTCAAGCACATGTAAATGTATTGGCAAATACAGCTGGAAAGTTCAGATGTTCTAGAGAACCCCTGGTAATCAGAAGGTCGATTATTCAATCCTGAGAATTATCCAAATCTTTTCAATAGTTTGAAACTTGATCCAGATATGGTCCTTGGATCGTTTTGCTAAATAAACGGTCTTGGCTAAAAAAAAAAACAGCTGATCCTAGTCAGTAACAAAGTTGAGGTGTAATTTTCAACACTGATACTTCACTCATATTTGCCTTAAAATTAACACACTACTGTGTCAGCATCTTTCAAATCTAGGTAATCTGATCTAAAATTTAAGGGTATGATTACATAACATTCCAAACTCAACAATTTTGTTTTTTTTTCAGGTGGGTAAACGTGCGGATGGTGTGGAGGGCCGTGCTCATCGGGGGCGCATCAAGATGATCAATAGAGGGGTACCGCCCTTCAGGCCACTACCTCCTCCGGCACCCAACACTTTAAGGAAGTCTGCAGCCATTCACCACATGCCTGCCCCCGCTCTGGCCGCAGTGCCTACCTCCGCCCCCTCACTAGGCAACGTCGTCGTGGTGCCTGCCTTCCAGGTAAATGTATGGTGCTGGATATTTAGTATGATGGAACAATAGTAGAGTAAGAAATTATGTTGATTCTGTGATCTGCACGGAGCTAAAGTCACTATGGTACATTTTTAATTACTAAGCAATATAGTGTTAAGCCAACAGTTTAACAGTTGAACATGTGGATTTATAGAGAAAGAGTTAACACATATTATGTACTTTAATACTTTAATACTTTTCGATGAAATGGCGAAAATACAACGTAGGTATTTTAAGCCAAGTATGAATGGAGATGAGTGTAGGATGAGTGGCGCGATCTTGTAGTCTTGTTAGTGACTAAGGCCGACATATTCCTTAGACTCTCTCTTACTCTTACTTACTCTCAGGGCCATGCATATCTAAGAAGATATTTGGCCGCACCAACAAAGCCTCTCCATCTTGCTCTATCCTCTGCATCCTCCTCAGTTGCTCCTAGTTGCTCCATGTCTTTCTTTACTTGGCTCCACCATTTCTGTTTTGGCCTTCCTCTCGGTCGTCTTCCTTCGGGATTTCTTAGTAAAACTAATTTTAACTTATTTTGCGCCTCTCTTCGTAAAACATGTCCAGCCCATCTAACTCTTCTACACTTAAATTCACACACCACATCTGGATCTCTGTAGAGTTCTCTCAGTTCTCTGTTGTGTCTCTTCCTCCATTCACCACCTTCATAAATTGGTCCATAGATTTTTCTTAAAATCCTATTTTCGAATGTGATTAACTTCTTTTCTTCTTTTTTATTTGGTTTCCATGTTTCAGCTCCGTATAATAATACTGGGCTGATTATTGTCTTATAAATTCTAACTTTGGTGTTTTTTGACAGTAACTTAGAGGACATCAGTCTGTTGCAAGCGTAGAAACATCTGTTTGCCTTAGACATATTCCTTAGACACAGCTGTTAATTAATAGCCCATACAGCTAATGACAACTAAGGGACCTACAGTTTATAGTGGAATCCGAACCACATTTTTGCCTTGGTATATACGAATTGGTATAATTATCAGGATAGTACTGCAGATAGTCGTAGATAAAATATCCACAATTCGTGACCTCCTAGTAGCTGGATTACAGGACGACGCCACCCGTCCGCCGTCCCAGTCTATATCTACTATTACAGTACGTACAACGGATCATATAACTCAGGGCAATTGACTCATCAAAACTTCGCTTTTAAACACCCCACTTGTATTCATCTTCTACTCTCCTTCCAGTCTTTTTAGCTTTCTTTCTAGCTGGTGCAGCAGTTTTTGTTCAGTCTTCCTGACGCTCTTCTGCCTTTTGGGCTGGTCATTAAAATGTTCTACTAGTAAAGAATTTGAATTTTCTCTTATCTGATGTACGTCAAACTTGTCCATCTGGTCTATAACTCGGCTTACGAGGGGTAAATAATATTCTCTAGTAAGTAGAAATATACAATGTTTCTAGTCATACCCTGCTCAAATTTATCTAATTTCCCATTTGAAAACTGTGTCAAACTTGGAACCTCTAAATTATAAAAGCGTCAACAATCCAACCGCTTCATTATACAAATCATAGCTAATCATCTCTAATTTATTTACTACGGTAATTCACCAAGAATAGACTACCCTAGCTAGTATTTCAATTTTAAGCTGTGCCATTAGCTGAAAAAATACTAAGTTGCAAGGGGAGCTTTTTACACTGGATAGCCAATATTGTAACCTTTTTTTTATATACACTCAGTTGCAAAAAGGTGGGATCAAAGAGGAATATGAATGTAAGAAGCTAAAAGTTCCTGAGCTAGAATAGAAGGCTGTGGAGTTTTTAACAATTGCATGGATTCTTTTGTTGAGTACCTATTTTTTCCATTGATTAAAATAAACTATAATATGGGGAAATGTTTGAGGGTTATTCGATTATGTTTATACTATTTACATTATATCGCATTATATAGCCTAATATCTTACTATATTTTACCCATTTTGTAGAATAATTAATTGCTGTAGACTGCATATTTATCTTCATCAACTGTATCAATTTTCAATGTTTCAATGGTTTAAAAGTTAATGGCACATTTTTCTGTTTCCTGTAAGTAAAATGTAAACGAGCAAATGCAATTTTATACTGTAGTAAGTATGAATTTCTTTTTGATGTAAACCTGTGTTTGAATTCAACTCATTAAACATCTGGAAACCCTTTTAACCTACAAGTTTGCTGTGTTGTGGGGGTTTGCTTTCAATTTATCCTCCAAATTCTCCTTTTCCCAGGCACTTCCGGCTTCAATAGTGCGGGCGGCCAATGCTAAGGTCTCTGCTCGTCCACCAGCTCCAGTCGCCTTCCAGAACGCCCTTCAGATGGCTAACAGACGCTTCCAGGTGAGTCCATTGTTGTTACTATGTGTGAACAAATTCTAATTGTACCAGTTGTGAAGCGAACAACTAGGGAGTATTGCTAGCCTCTGATTGGTTGGCAGTTCTATTTACAAGAAGGAAAGTTTGATCGTTGGCGTATCTAACAAAACTTTTGAGGTTTGGTCATTGCTCTAAGTTTGTGATTCTTCAATGCAAAGTGCCACTGCTTAGTAGACTTGGAAAAAACATACAGAGACCACCTACAGCCATGGAGTAAACATACAGAACTCCTTTTACAAATTTCCCATCCATATGAATCTGCTAAAGACAGTGTCATGAAAGGTTCGGTAAATATAGACTACTAGCTGTACCCGCGGGCTTTGCCCCGTTTAACTTCATATGTGAGCTCGTTCGCATGGCTCAATCACGTCCTGGTTCGTTCGCTACGCTAACTCACCTTTAGGTTGGAGCTCGTTCGCTGCGCTCACACGACCTGGTTGAAGTTCGTTCGCTACGCTCACTCACCTTTAGGTTGGAGCTCGTTCGCTGCGCTCACACGTCCTGGTTGAAGTTCGTTCGCTACGCTCACTCACCTTTACGGTTGGAGCTCGTTCGCTGCGCTCACTTGCCTTCAGGTTAGCTCGTTCGCTACGCTAACTCGCCTCCGGGTTGAAGTTCGTTCGCTACGCTCACTCACTTTTGGTTTAAAATTAGCTGTTGTAAAATATTAAAAAAATAATAGTGCTGCACTCTGTTGGTAATCCTTGTAACTTTAATGCTATTTAACATCATAGAACAGAACCAACTTGTTTAATTGAAACAGCTGTTAAGATTCATTAATTCTATTTAAATATGAGTACTCATTAGGTTAACATGGGAAACTCTAGAACCACTGGGGCGGAGCCCGAGAGTCCGATCAGAATAAAAACCACTTAGTTGTCCTATTTAATGCCTAAAGAATCAGTGTACCAAATTTCAGCCTCCTAGGTAAGTGGGAAGTGGGAGAATTAGTGATGAGTGAGTGAGTCAGTCAGTCAGTGAGGGCTTTGCCTTTTTATATACTAGCTGTACCCGCGGGCTTTGCCCCGTTAAACTTCATATGTGAGCTCGTTCGCATGGCTCAATCACGTCCTGGTTGAAGTTCGTTCGCTACGCTCACTCACCTTTAGGTTGGAGCACGTTCGGTGCGCTCACACGTCCTGGTTGAAGTTCGTTCGCTTTGCTCACTCAGCTTTTGTTTTAAAATTAGCTGTTGTCAAATATTTAAAAAAATAATAGTGCTGCACTCTGTTGGTAATCCTTGTAACTTTAATGCTATTGAACATCATAGAACAGAATCAACTTGTTTAATTGAAACAGCTGTTAAGATTCATTTATTCCATTTAAAAATGAGTACTCATTAGGTTAACATGGGAAACTCCAGAGCCACTGGGGCGGAGCCCGAGAGTCCGATCAGAATAAAAACCACTTAGTTTTCCTATTTAATGCCTAAAGAATCAGTGTACCAAATTTCAGCCTCCTAGGTAAATGGGAAGTGGGAGAATTAGTGATGAGTGAGTGAGTCAGTCAGTCAGTCAGTCAGTGAGGGCTTTGCCTTTTATATATATAGATAGATATGCATTGATGTTTCCAATTTATTTATAGTTATTTTACGAACTCTAAAACTAATACAGTCAAATAAAACAATCTCTTAGTGAATGGTTACTTATTGGTTTCTGTTATTATAAAAGAAGAATGAAGCATATGCCTATGTGTTGGAATTGGAAACCTTTTCTCCAAATAAGAGATAATATTCTTTGCCCTCTATGCTAACTGGACATTGAACGCACTTTTCTCAACAACAATTTTCTCTATATGAATTTTATGCTCACCTGTCAGAAATACCCATCCCTCCTCAATTTCAGGCGTGCAATTACTAATATTTTGACTATCCTCTACAGTTGCGAAAACATCACCGTATCCCGCGATCACGGTGAAATTGACTGCGAATACATTTTACGTTGGGATAAACTAATGTCAGTTATGAGTAGCCAAAACTGTGTTCTAAGTGTTCATAGAGTGTATGAGTAAAAATCATTTATGGCTACCTATACGGAAATTCGCTAATATCACAACATTTCAGCCTGGGAAACGCCCAGATCCGGGCGCTAATGTAAAAGAGCCAGCCTTCCTGGTCATTTCAGATCGATGATCTGACACAACCCACACCTCACTGGTGTGAACGATAGCTAAAAATGTATAAATTATCAGTGGCAATATGTAATATGTAAACAAATTCTACCCCAAAAATCCCAGTGGCGCAAGTATGCTGTGCTGCCATCTGAGCACTCCTGAGTAAAGATGCAAAATAATAAGGTGAATAGCATTGAAATCCCACAAAAATCAAACCTAACCCTCAGTTGAAGAAGCTCTAGATATTATAGAATATATTTTAATTATAGAACAACTTTAAGTCTCTTTTGAGCTCCTAAAATCAATGCTACTTATCAACCACATATTTCAGGTGGTTGTCCCAGAAATGCCATCAGTCAATTCGGTGTCCAACCACATAGCTCCCAGCAAAGCTATTCCGGATAACACTTTGACAGTACGAGGAGGTACGGCTGCTCCTGCTCCGTTCCAGCCGAGATCTACTACCCCAGCCCCTGCACCAGCTGTCGTCTACACCCCCAGGGCTCCCGCAGACATGGACATCCACGCACCCAACCCTATGTTGATGGGTCACTCCATCTCCTCTCTGGCACAGGCATCGAACATCAGCGTGGAAACATTGGCCGCTGCCATCAGGTTTAAGGTTGGACAATACATAATTTTAACTTACAATTAATTGTTGTTTTGTGTAAACAATGGTTAGAAATTTTGTAAATTTGCTTATTTCAAATAGTAATTGGAAAATGGAAAGTGAGTTAAATTATATTATGACTTGTAAAGGATTGAGCCGAGTGTGTCTTTGGTTTTAGTGCATTACTATCAGTGTTTGCTAGTATTTTTAGTATCCAAAAGAAAATCTATCTTTTTTTGATAATCTTATTTAATACGCAAGCAGATTTTTTGTGACAATTACTCAATAACTTCTTGATCAGCATTGTACGTGTTATTAAATTTACGGAAAGTAAATAAAGATATGTCTTATAACACTTAAAACATATATTTACGCTTATACTGTTACTCACAAGACGGTAAATATACAAAAGATGGCAAGTGGTGATCGATTTCGATTGGACACTCCAATCATCATCAGACCCAATAGGCGAATGAATGCGCGAATGTGCAGGAAACTTTGTTTTTAGGGAAATAATCAGAGAGTGAGGCCTGGGGGCCCTTAGAAATTTCGTATTTCTCCATAAGATTAACATGAGAAACAAACATTGTTATGAAACCCCAGCTGTTGTCAGAAATGCTGTTCTGCTATTTAATTTCATTTGTTTACAAGGAGAATTGTTTCTTGGTGCCATGTGGTCAATGAGTTATACTTTTGCATATATTTAAAATGATATACACTATATAAAATGATGGTACTGTAATACATTAAGAGATATTCATTTAAATAATCAATAGGTACGGTTGAGCCTTTGCCTATATGTTTCCTGGTAAGTGTGTCTAACTGTTCCTTATAGTATATTATAGTATCTTAAAGTAAAACAAAATTATTCTTTTCTGCATCCTCAGTCCTCACCCCGTAGCAAAGCACGGGCAGAGCAACTACAGTAGTTCTATTATAAACTGTTAACTATTTGAGTATCCATCAAAATACTCCTAGGGATCAGACATGCAAATTATGAAGGTTGTCAAACCCTTGGTTGTGCCACATTGCTGTTTGAAAAATGATGTTAGAAATGTGTGATCAATGTATCCTAAAGCTGTCAATGGAAAATTTAGGCTACAAACACACCTCTTGAAACAGTTCTAAAATGGACATGACTGATATATTTTCATAGGTACTGGTACTTTATTTCTAAATAGTGAACAGCAAACACGATGCGTTTAGTGAAACTGTCGTGGACTGTACAATCACACATCTTTTCACTATATGGCTTGTCCGTGCCACAACAGTAATTCGATGTATTTAGTTCAATGCAGAAACATGATAACAGGCAGTTAGGGTAATATATAACTAGGATTACTATGATTATATTTTGAGCTAAGTAAAAAATTAGTACAGCACCGAATAATTTTGTTATAGGAGGATCAAATGAAGTTGTCCACCACCACGACAACTACCACAACAACTACAACAACAACCACAACCACTCCTCCTCCACCAACTAAGCCGTCCACGGTTAAACCAAGGTTTGTAAAATACAAAACGTAGGCCTCACAGCTTTCATACTTTTGCTTTCAAAAACATCTTAAGACATGAAAAATATTGATCTCAAGGAAGTTACAAATAATTTGATAAGACCCCCTGTGATCAGGGCTGTCTCAGCTTTGCTATAAAAAATATAACCTAGGTAGCTGTGCAAAACATAAATATTTTAATTCGGGAATGTAAAAATATGAACTAGAACTAATTTTTAGGGGTTCAAGTTCTGCGTGGCGCTACTATAGCTTTGACAGACTGATTGCAATTTAACAGGCATTTTACATTTGCGTGTTTCTATAGGGAGGCTTACTGTATCGACATTATCCACTTTTGTTTTGTTCTTTCACGAACACACATTACATATAAAACAGTTGTAGACTAATTGCTTGTTCTCCCTTGACCACTTAACCTATACATCTGTTTACACATATTTCTTGCTCTTCCTTTTCAGTACCTACATTCTAATATATAAAATTCTCGTGTCACAGTGTTTGTCTGCAAACTCCTCCGGAACGACTTCACCGATCGTTATGAAATTTGGTGTGTAAATTCTGTAGGTATGCGAATCGGACGTAAACTATTTCCCGTTTCGAAATTCTTAAAAGGGCTCCGCCCCAGTGGCCCTGGAGTTTCCCATGTTAACCTTATGAGAAATGGAATTAATGAATCTTAACAGCTGTTTCAATTAAACAAGTTGGTTCTGTTCTATGATGTTCAATAGCATTAAAGTTACAAGGATTACCAACAGGGTGCAGCACTATTATTTCTTTTACATTTATGACAACAGCTAATTTGCAACCAAAAGGTGAGTGAGCGTAGCGAACGAACTTCAACCTGGAGGCGAGCTAGCGTAGCGAACGAGCTAACCTGAAGGCAAGTGAGCGCAGCGAACGAGCTCCAACCTAAAGGTGAGTGAGCGTAGCGAACGAGCTCCAACCCAAAGGTGAGTGAGCGTAGCGAACGAACTTCAACCAGGCCGTGATTGAGCGATGCGAACGAGATCATCTTGAAAATTAAACGTAACGGTACTTTCTTTCCATCGGTCTGTCTTAGTGGGAACCTATAACTTAGGCGATACGAAGTTCGCCGGGTCAGCTAGTCTTCTATAGAATTTTTATACTTGATTTTTGTCGATTAAAAGACAATGTTTGTCCATGGTGGAAGGAAAACTTCCACCATAATATTTGTCTATATACTGTAATTTTAAGAACACTTAAGTTGTTTACTTTACAACTTATTTAAGAAAACAAATGACAAATTTTGAGTGTTTTACAGGTACTCCCTAGCAGGTCACAGCAAAGTGATGAATGCACCCAAAGAGTACTACCCAGTCGCTTATGACAAGAACTACGATGACAACTTCACCTCCAAAGTAGAACTTCCAGACACGTCGTTCAGCTGTGGAGATCAAAAACACTTCCCTGGCCTCTACGCAGACGAGGACCTTGGTTGCATGGTAAAAATGATTGTATTTGACAATGATGAACATGAAAGAGATGGGATCAAAAGAGGGAAATGCTTTGAAGGAAAACTTTTATAAATCTACTACAATCTTAATGCTTTTCAACATGATACTAGCATTATAAATTTACTAGTGGGCCTGTTGCTGGAAATCGAGCAATTACAAAGTATTACAGGCGTTATATTTAAAAACAAAAACAGTCACAATTTCTGATTACTTAAAAGAGTAAACTCAAAGAAAATGTAATCAATCATTCCACTCCAGTTATCGAAACTGAAAACGAAGTCACTCTGAAAACAAGCTCTTGTTTGTATCATGTGTGTTTACTATAAACAACAGTAATTAATACAAATTATTCATCTGTTTAAGTAAACAAAATATTTTCTTCTTAAGGAAAACATTGGGATTTTGATAGCCTTTGGGGCAAAGCCCGAGGACTTTTATTGCAGGAATTGGTGAAAGGGGGCATATACACAAAAAATACTTAATTTTGACACGTTGTTTGTAAAAATCCGTCCATTATTAACGGAGGAGTAGGGTTTCGTAGAAATTACCTTAACGTATTATATACAAGGATTTTGAAGCAGCTACAATAATCATCTGGGATCGTCATTGTTTATGTAGTGTTTGCATGTATTCTATAGCCAATCAAACGAAAAAGAATGTACCGGTATAAACATTCCAAATGGTTTTACAAAAAAGGTTCAAAATAATCCTTTTCGTCACTGCAGGTTTCTGAAGAGTTGTCACAAACACAGACGCGTCAAATTTTAACATAAGTTTAACTTAACACTGATAAGGACGCTTAAGTGTTGTCAGCAGACTACCACTTATTCATTACAAAATCTCCGTGACTCTAGTTCAATAGTTATTATTTGGGATGTAGACTAACCTTTAGGTTTGAAACCATTAGTCACCCAACCAAAAAATAGGAATATTTGACAGATATTTCTACCTTATGTTAGTGTACAAGGGATCAGAGACTAAAAATTCTGTAAAGAACAAAGAAACAAATATATTCAGTGTTTTAGACTTTTAGGCATAGCATTAAATTTTAGATTATCACTTTCACAACCACATAACCAGTTAAATTTCACTACACCTTCTTTTTTTAAATCATCACACCAAAACTATGATTTTTACTGACTATTTCTCTGATTTTCCAGGTATTCCACGTGTGCGCGTTTACCGACGACGGTCTAGTCATGAAGAGTTTCCTCTGTCCTGAATCAACGTTGTTTGATCAAACCATTCTTAAGTGCAACTGGTGGTTTTACGTGGACTGCAAGTCCTCCCGGAAACTCTACGATAGCAACATTCCCATATCCAAAAGCTATCAGCTGATGAAAGCTCTTGCCTTCTTCTCTTCCTACAAAAACCAAACCAGTAGTGCCAACTCTACGTGAAGTTGAAGTAGCAGTGATGCCAAAATATTACTCAAGAAGACTTTGCTCAACCTTACAGTGAGCTACTTTGTGATAAAAAGCTTACGTCATGGAATGAAAAGGAATTTCGTGGAATTTTTCTTGAAGTTTGTGAAATGTTTAATTGTCTGCCAAATCTAAATGAATTGGCCTTTTTGTGAAAATGTATAGTTACTCATTATATCAATAACAAAATAAGATGATTGACATAAACAACTGAGACAGGGATTTTGAAAGTCTTCACTCAATTAATTAAAAGGAAATTTTCTTAAAGGTTTCTCAATGTATGGTATTATCATGTTTTACAAAAATGTGTCATAACTACTATTACTGATATTTAGTATTTTTGACATGCTCATAGTGAAATACCCTTCATAAAAAACAGTTTTAGTTTAGAAAAAGAAGCAGTTATGTTGAGAACTACATTAAAATAAGATTTTTGTGAAATTTATAGAGATCAGATTGCTTACTTGATTAAAGTCCAGGTCACTTGACATTAAGCAGTTTTTTTTTTTTAGTGTGGTACTTTTCAGCGAAAATTGAAGAGAAATATAGTGTGAAGAGAATATATATTGTAGAGATAAATTTCAGAGAGTTGCATCACCTTTTTTGTGTATCTGTAAGTACCTGGGCTCAAATTTTCTTAGGTAAACTATCTGAGTTCTAATCCCACAGAAAATACCTCCTCAATCAACCTCCTGGACTTTTCATAAAATCACTAACTACAGTTTGTATTTGGTACTACAAATTTTTACTAAATGTAATTACCAAACTTCAAAATAAGACTTTAACTTCTCATTTCCCAACAGCCTTTTACATTTTGTACATATTTTAGAATGGTAAGCATCCTTAGTTATTTGTTACTACAATCTAAAGTTTAGGGTTTACTTGTATGCCAAAACTGTACTGTTTGAAATGTAATGAGAACTGAATTCTTGTTTGTTAGTTGTGTTTAATACTTGTATAGTAGTTATAGTAATTCTTTTCTTGTAACAACTTTTGTCAACTAGTTTTTTTATTATATAATATCATTTTATGATATTTTATCAGTATATGTATAACAAAAAGTTTTTTTTGGGTCGGTGGCTCAGTAGGTAGCTGATTCTGCTAAATGCTACCATGGTACTTTTTATCAGTAAAGTTCACCCTTGTCCCGTACCGCTTACCCCTTGCTCTGCTGGATACTTCCCATGCACAGGCCTTAGTGACCCATGTGGAGACGCAAATGCAAGGTAAAAGATGCCGCCAACCTCTTAAAAAAATAAACTTTAAACAAAGTCAATTATTTTCAACTTAAAATACAAAGTCAATCATTTCCATGTCTTCATCCCAATTAAAAGTTTAGTTTTTAGTAAAATTTCTTGCCCCTTTATATAAATAACTTACTTCCTACCTAATCATAGGCTCTGTGTAGTTCAATTTATAAACATAGCTGGATCGCTGAGTGGTCATAGTGCACGCCTGACGACCAAACCGACAGTTCGATCCTGAGAAAAGTCATTAGCTTTTTGATGGTTTTGAACTAGACCCAGCTGTCCTTGATCATTGGGCTAAAATAAATGGTCCTGGCTAACGAATCAGCTGATAATAGTCGGCTACAAAGCTTCACATACTCTGTGTTTATTTTGGCTCTAAACACACACCTAGCTGACTCTATTGTCTTTGAAGTAATAATAATGAAAATAAGAATATAGATACATGTTTTTGAAAGGAAAATACAACAGGTTTCCAACCAAAAATAGTTTATCGCAAAGCTGTAAAATATCACTTTAAGTTAAAATTTTGATTTGTACATAGTATAGTATTCAACAAACGCTATTAACTTTGAAAACCGATAAAAATATTTTACTTTATACGACAGCTATCATGTATATATTTTATGTAATTTTGACCTATCCATAACACCTTCAGTATTGAAACAAATGCTCATGCAAAGGTTGTCAATGTTTAATACTCGTATTAGATAGATTGTAAATAGTGTAAATAAATAAGTTATTGTATTTTCATTAGTATTTTAGAGTTAGGTGACCTGATTCGTAAATAACTCTTGACAAATTTATACTGTTAATACAATAAAACTGTTTGTATAGTCAACATTGAATGGTTTACGTTTCTGTCCTGTTTTTTTCATCCCGAATATTTTGTATTATTGTCTTATTTTGTCTTATTTTGTATTATTTTAAAGGGTAATTGACTTAAAAATATATTAGTGTGGTAGCTGAAAAAAACTTCACATCTGGCAACCAATGCGCCCCTTTGGATTCAGATAGTACATGAGTAGGCGAGTCTAAAAAGTCCGGGACACAATTTTTTCTGGCACTCTATGGGTGTTTATGACGTAATCAATATGGCCACCAAAGTTGTGTGACGCGCTTATACCTAGTTGTTCATTGCATTTTAATTTTTAAGAACTTATGATATAGTTCTGTTAATATTTTTGTAGTTGTTTAAACCGTTTCATATTATGGACACTGAGGTTTTAAATGTTAATGGCGAGTTCGTTCCACCCAATCGCTCACATCAGAGGAGATGGTGTGTGTTTATTTACTTCACTCTTATTCATAATTCACCTTACACACACTAACTGTGCGCAAAGCAATTGTTGAGCATGTTGTGAGGAACTGGGACTACTTCTCAATCTTATCCCACAACAGTGACGGATTTACAAAAGACTCAGATTTACACAATCCCTGTATAGCGGGCACTTCGGCGTTCTAGAGCCACAAAAAGAGACCGTTTCTCCCAATTGTTAGCCAAATTAAATCTCTTCACAAAGATGTAATTGAGGCCATAGTGATTACAGGATGCAGGACTATGCTTAAGAGAGGACTGTTATTATCATGGACAATTTTACGTTGCATATTCATGTATAAATGTTGTATACAAAGAAATTCTGTAAATTATCAAAAATATTATGGATAACGAACAAACTTTTAACTGTAGTTTTAATCTAAAAGGAAATATAAAAATTAAAATAATTTATTGTTTATTTAATGTGATTGAGTTTATGATAATCTGGCAACTAAACACTAATTAATTGATTAAAAATGTCAACCAATTTTTAAAGTTTCCGTAGCGAAGCACGGGTATTCCGCTAGTAGATAAATCACATTCTTTACTTGAAGCATTTATTAGTATTTTATACTATCTTACATGGTGTCAGAACTACAAGAGCATTGAGCCGACATAGTAAACCTTGTTATAAATAAACATATTTTTCTAGATTTTTTTACTTTTCATTGATAATACATCAACAATCTTCAGTGATAATTGATTTATGTACCTTTCTTCATGGATTCCAACTTTTCTTATTGATCTAACGAGAAGCTGATACCTTTCAAATAAGAAAGTAGGAGCATCAATGTGTAGGTAAACTGAAACACCGAGCATCCAAAAAAATGTTGGAATTTCTTTTTATGGCTCAAACACAAAAATCAGGCAATCAGTAAAGATCACAAGTAGTTATGAGTAGAGGTGTAAATAAACACTGAATAAATTCAAAATTCAAATTCAAATTCAAATATATTTATTAAGGATGTTACAAGCATGGCCTCGCCAAGTTTACAAAACTTGTCGGCGAGGACCAATAGATTCAAAAAAATGACAAAGTTTACAGATATTTTTTTTTTACTTTTGTTTTGTTTTCTGAGTACGGTACAATGAATTAATTATGAAAAACTAGTTCTAAGGCGGTTCGTGGCAGGCACTTATTAAAAAAAATCGTTAGCGAATTTTAATAACTTCACTTTCATCTAAGATCTGTGGTTTATAACAGGTCAATTCAAAATTGCCACGTTTGTGTCGGTATTGACACCACCGGGACAGTTGTTGAATGCAGTTGCGATGAGTTGGGAGAGAGTGTCCTTTACATAGGTTTCGAACTTTCCTTGACTGTGGTTTGTCGAGTCACCCGACGCTACCTTCCAGGTATTAACTTTACTTTCCTGTAAAGTGATAAGTAATCATCCAGTCTTGTAAATAAATCAGTAAGATATGGCAAGCATAATGAGAAAGCTAAGGTAATACTATGATCGATTAAAAAAGTAAATTCTCCCAACACAGCAAACCTACAGACTAAGCGAATTTCCATTTGCCTGAATGAATTTACGTTAAAATGTTTCCATAAAAATATCACATTTATTCCCTATTTAAATAGCTTTAGTTTAACGAGTACTTAGATTGCTGCAACAGGGGTTTATTTACGCTTCTACAGACTATACGCTTCTAACTGTTCATTTATTGTGTTTATATGTTACTTGTATCGTGTTTTATATGTTTTTGTTACCAGACACCTACGTTTGAATCCCTCTGACAACTACTGTACAGACTATACGCTTCTAACTGTTCATTTATTGTGTTTATATGTTACTTGTATCGTGTTTTATTATGTTTTCGTTACCATACACCTACTTTTTATTCCCTCAGACAATTATAATGATTAAAAGCCAATCTACATCCGGTATTTCAGCTTTAAGCGTTGAGAACCTCACCATTTACCATAAATAATTTATTTCATGATGGAATGGCCTCTAGATCGTCTGAATAAACTAATATAGGTTTAAATTACCTGTTTTCTGTCAAAACGATCAGTTTAGTAGTATGATGACTACAGCTGTTTCATGCTTTTCAAAAATATCACATCTTCAGGTCCAGAATGTCTTGCAACTTACCTTCCACCGGCGCCGTGTCTCGTGAATCAGCGTCTGGTCGACCAGTTTATTAATAGCTATTTACATTACAAGTGTAGTAAGAGCGTTTTTACATCACGCAGGTGAATGTTGTGCAACGAGCGAATGCGAGTTGCATAATTCACCGAAGTGATGTAAACACGCTCATGCGTAACGTGTAACGTACAAGATTTTACCTGACCCGACAATATTCAGGAGGTTACGAGCAATATACTTCATTATCAATTTCACTCATCTTCTAACAGTAACGTTCATTTACAAACAAAAGCTAGGTTAGGAAAATTATTCTTCAAAGCATAACAATAAAATTCAAACACACAGCTGATTTCTAGCGTTGAACGTCGTTGGCTCCATAGAGGTATATTTTTTAAGTTATACACTCAATGTTATTTAAATGGGGTTCATTACATCACCGAGTGAGTTTTTTTCAACTTTACATCACTCGAGAAGTAAGGAAGTTGTATACATCACGCTTGGGATAGGGAAGTTTAACATGGCGGGTTAGGTAAATGTATTTTCGTGTGTGTCATATCTGTATGTGTGTCCCGTTTATTTTTTTGTTTATATTTTTGACGAACTCTACATGAGGGATTAGCAAGACATTCTGGACCTGAAGATGTGCTATTTTTGAAAAGCATGAAACAGCTGTAGTCATCATACTACTAAACTGATCGTTTTGACAGAAAACAGGTAA